CACACACACACACACACACACACTCACACACACACTCACACAGACTAAGCTTAGTGAAAAAGGCTACAGCTGAAGAACGATCACAGGAAAAAAACATCTAGAACAGACTGCTGCAAAATGCCAGATGTTTTTTTTTTATTTTTCTTATATTAAATTAAATCTCTGTACACACTGTAACCATGACAACGCTCTTACCAGTCCTAGCTAGTATTGGCTAACTGACTAGCCTAGCTCACTGAGAAGGTTGTTTCACTGTAGCTTTGGAGGCAGAAAATGGAGAGAAATTGTGCTGGACGTTACACTGAGTAGCGGTGAACATCCCAAAAATACACACTCTGTTTACTTTATTTCCACGCTGGAATATTGGTAATGAAATATTTAACATGTCCTCCATCACCTCACGTGGTGTTACTGTTACCATCCCAACGTTGATTATTTTCCTGTAGTAGCATGTCCCAGTGTTTTATTCCTCTTATTATAACACAGCAATTTACAAGGTCACAATGATCAAACGTATTTATTAAAACTAAGTCATAGCCTACTTTTTATCCATTTATAGTTAAATTTTATGTTCATGAAATAAGTTAGTTCCTGTTGTCACTTACGTTATAGCAGCTTTAAACAGTCGTTCTGTCACCAGCCCCTTTTTTCTCTCCCTTAAAGTTAATAAGACAAAAAACAACGCAGCTTGTCATGTTACTGAGAAACTTTCATCATATCAGTGATTGCAGACGTTTAAATGCATCCGCGGTACACGTCCCTGTGAAGGAGCCGTTACCATAGAAGCCATAACGCATTAACGAGCGCATTAAAATAAACCTGTGATTTGCAGCTGCACTGCTGTCAGAGCTGCTGTTCTATGAATTAATCACCAATCACAATCCAGGATTCAGCAAGAAACAAAAAACATCTTTATCTTCTCTCGCTCCACTCGTCTGCATTTATACAGCACTTGATGAAATAACTGTAATTTCAGCAGCAGAGTGAAACGTCATGGCCATCACGTACACATTCACTAACACATCACACACTTCTCTCATAATCACTATTCTCACACACAAGTGCTGCCTAGAGTTTTCATTCATCTCTACACGTTAATCCATTAAACTACAGGAGCAGGGCTTCGGACATAAAGCTAAGAAAAATACCATTGTTTAGGAAAATTTCCCAAGACGACTGACGCTAAATGGAACATAACTGTAATGTTATTTTTGCTAAGAAAAAATTATTTTTTTTATAATTGTTTGACTAGCTTATGTTTTATTTTCACATTTATATGATAATCTCAAAAATGCACTGTAGATCTGATTTTATTTCATTTAAATAAAGAAAGAAAGAAAGGCACTGGGAGTGCAGCCGCAGTGGACATGGTTCGGTTCCTTGACCAGGAATCAAACCCGGGCCGCGGCAGGGAGAGCACTGAGGTCTAACCACTAGTCCTCCAGGGACTAACAGAGTGATATATATATATATATATATATATATATATATATATAATCCCGTCCAAATAAGGCAGGGGTGTCTAAAGTCCGGCCTCAGGGGCGATGCTAACGTTAACTGGCACAAAGCTTGTGTTAGCTTGTGTTACAAAGCTTTTTTTTTCTTTCACCTTACAGTGGAGCAGACTTTGCTAACACAGTTAGCTAAATTGCAGGAGCCTCTGTTTCTCTCATTAGACCTGCATATTAATTTACAGAATGATATTTAGTCAGGAGCAATTTCAAAAGATCTGGAAACAAGAACTCTTTTTCATCGAGAGCCAGAGTAAATGCGTGTGTCTCGTATGTCCAGAGACTGTAGCAATAATTAAGGAATGTAATATGATGAAACAAATCACGGACATTGCAAAAAATGTTCCGAGGATGAGAGAAGAGGATGAGAGAAGAGGATGAGAGAAGAGGATGAGAGAAGAGGATGAGAGGGCAGAGACACTGAAGCAGCTGGACGCTGTCCTGCAGAAGAAGCTTTTTATCAGCGCAAACGGGGAGCAGAACATTACTAGAGCTAACAGCTGGAAACTTTTCTCCTTGAAAGAGTCTTTAACTAAAGCGTTGATGTCATTTGTCTGGAAAAGGAATTTAGGAATATGTTCAGCTGTCAGGCCCCTGAAATATAGCTAAAAATGCTGTCTGGTTTTTAAAAAACAAAATAATACACACACACACACACACACACTTGAGCTAGTTTAGGAGAGGTAATTAATTGGATTACAAGCTGTGTTTTAATTGGCAGAGGAGGAGAACTTGGAGGGAAATTTTCCCCAAGAGCACAAAGACACACTCACACAGATGTGTATTAGTCAAATCTAATAAAATACAGTCAACATGGAAAAGTTTTTCACTCACACACACACACACACACACACACACACACTCTGCTTTGCATTTCAGATCTAATCAAACGCCTGCCTGTTTGTTTGATTGACAGCTCACATGGGTAGATGAGTTTATCGAGCGAGTAAACACACGCAGCGCAGACGTGTGTGAAGTGCTGCACTTAGCGACTCTGTAACTGTCTGCTGCTTTAATATACGGCACAGGCGCTTCAGAGGAGATGGAAACAAGCGCATCAGGCTTTCTGGAGATAAATCAACGAAACTTACAGTGACAGAGTACAGTGCAATGTTGTTGTTGTTGTTCTTTCGGGCCACATATTTGATTTGGCACAGTTTTTTCACCTGATGCCCTTCCTGATGCAACGCTCCCCAGTTTTATCCAGGCTTGGGCCCGGCACTGGCAGTGCTCTGTCGTGTGGAACCCCAGTGGCTGCGGCCGGTTCCCTGGACGGGGCTCGAACCCTGGCCGTGGCAGTGAGAGCGTAACCTAACCTCTAGTCCTCCCGGGACCCAACAGTACAGTGATCTCGGCAAAATCAAATGCTTAAAACACACAACAGATTCTCATTATAAAGAGAAGAACATGTTTATTTCTCCTTCCGTCACTCCGTGCTCAGCCACCGCGTGGAAAAGCAGACCGTAATTTCTGTCCAGACGTGAATGTAATTTAAGTAATCCGATGGTGCACTTATCCTCAAAAACAAGAAAAGAAATGCAATTTTATCATTAAACACACATCTGTGAAGGCCAGAGACATAAAGAAAATGAAACAATTACATATGAAGACTATGATACAAAAGGTTTACTGATAAACAAATTCATATCCAGTCCACAGTGAGGTCTGAAGGTCTGAAGGAGCTCCAAAATCCAGAACAGTACCAAAATCAGCACCAGTCGGGACCTAACGATATTTAGGATTAATGGCAGCAGCTCTTTGTGCTGGTGAAGGCGATGCGTGATCTCAGCTCATTAACGATGTCACAGAGCAGACGAATGTGTTACTCCGAGCGCTTCAATTCAATTACATCTTATTTATATAGCCATTTTAACAGTAGACATTGTCATGGCTAGATTTAGATCCCTAATGAACAAAACAGAGGTGACATTGATGACGACAAGACGACAAGATCCTTGAGAGGAACCGGACTCAAAATAGAAACTGTCCTCTTCTGGAAGTAAAAACTAAAATAGGGGCACTTAATTCTGGAGTATGCATCGTATATCTAGCGCTCTACATCACTGAGTTACATTCAATTAATGAATGTGATCTGTGTGTATATATATATGTGTGTGTGTGTGTGTGTGTGTATGTGTGTGTGTGTGAGAGAGAGACATAAGATTAGAATAATGGCCTATGTCCCCTCTTCTTCACATATCACTAGAACACTCCCTAATTACATTCTTCTCATTAAAGTGTGTGTGCAAATCTCAGAGCTGCACACTCGGAGGCTCAGTGTGTGTGTGTGTGTGTGTGTGTGTGTGAGTGTGTGTGTGTGTGTCACCTGGAGTAACACATGTACCTGACTCAGGTAGTGAGCAGCACTAATGCAGATGCAGTGGAGGAGGAAAAGGAAACATGAGCCGTAAGCAGAAACATCAGAGACGACTATAAACAAATCTGCTTCTCGCTTCTCATGGAGAAAAACTGTAATTCTGAGTAACGCTCGTGACTTAGCCAAGCACAAACTAAACATATTACTCTGTGTGTGTGTGTGTGTGTGTGTTTGAGGAACAGTGTAATAAATCAGCGCAGTATGGAAGAATAAACACCTGAGCACTAAACACGGTTTAGACATTAGTGCTGTCAGTGTGCCCTTGTCCACTTCCCCTATCCACTCTGAAGTGTCCACTTGCAGCACAGACACAGTGAGTGGATTGCTCGGCAGGAACACACTCGACCTTCGCTGTGAGAACAGTCTGGAACAATTTCTTTGGAGGTTTTTATTTGCTAGCAGAGAAACGTAACTCATCTCCATCAACTCTGGAATCTTTCTTCTGAAATATTCTGAGAGATTTCACTTTCATATGAAGATTTGTAACACACGTTAACTCTGCATCTCTGTTAGATAATCGATTCCTGAATAATAAGGAGAATTCTTTTTGTTTTTCTGTATTGTTTTTTTTTTTTCTTTTTGATGAATGATAGAATAAAACCAGATCTTGGTGATGCACTGAGACTTTAAACCTGATGACTTTCGGTTAGAGCTGAAAGCAAGGCGGCGCTGCTGGGTTTGAATTCTTAAATAAAAATTTGACAGATTACATTTTTTGTCATGTCTTTACTTTTAAGGACATTTATCCACTTGCACTTTGGTAGAATAAATGGAGATGATTCTTCAGAATGTTTAAAAAAAAAAGTACAACATGGCATTCCACAAAATTCTGCTGAAGGCCATCTTATAATTATTCTCACATTAAATCCATTTCCCTGAACATTTATTTCAAAACATGATGCTGGCTTTCACTTTAACACTGATGGACATTTATATTTATCACATTCTGCCTTTGTTCTTATAAACTTGTGTGTTAACCTGCTGAGGCGATGAAAGATGGGGGGGGGGGGGGGGGGGGGGGGGGGGGGGGGGGTCCATTGCAAATCCACTCAGATGTAGCTTCAGAGTTTAGCAGTGAAAAAAGACTTTGTTATTTTATCTAGATTATGAAGAAGCAGAAGTTTTGTGTTTTTAAAGTAGAAATTAGTTATAAACAGCAGCACCACAGCTTCCTGTTCCACAAAAATAAATGTAACTATAAACAGATAAAAAATGTATGACGTGCTGTTCTTTCATTAAAAAAAAAACACTACACCTAAAAATACATAGCTATAAATTACCATAAATGTATTCTTTAATTTGATTCATAAATTGGTTTAACAACAACAGCAACAGGTGAGAACAAAGCAGATTTTTTTTTGGGGCCAATTTAAAGAAATAATAATTACTTTGGTCAGTGCTGATGCAAAACCTCGTGACATGATTTCTGAACATGTGATTGGCTTTTAAGTGAATGTAAAAGGAGAAGATAATGAATGCATGAATGAATCCATGTAGCATATAGGAGAAAAAAAGCAGGAAGTGAGAATTGTTTGTCCATCGCATACAGTAGATGTCTGATCATTTCTGCTCCTCAGACTCAGTGTGGTGGCTTCGAACGAGGCCTCGGGTGCTGCATCAGTCACAGCCCTTAGCAGCGTCGCTCCTTTACTTTGTCCTTTAATGAAAAATGGATGTGTTGTTCTGTACAGTTAATAGCATCTGCTCTGTAACACGTCTCTGTATCGATCGCTGGACGTCGGGACGGACGTCTGCTTAAACAATAATCGATTTCTGTCCTCGGCCGAGATGGGATGGAGGTGCGGCTCAGCCTCGGCTCGGCTAATCATCACCATGTATGTTTTAGGGAGAATAAAAATGAACAGACGAAAAAGTTAACACTTTGTGACACCATCAATCCGTGACAGTAAATTAGCATTCAGGTCACAGTAACACCTTCTTCAGTCCTCCGTGGTCATGTGTCAAAGTGGCGAGTCAACACTTAAGTCAAAAATGAAGTGAGGAAAGTTCCTCGTATTCAGAGTGGAGTTATGCAGCAGCTTAAGTCAATTTCCTGGGCTCTCGAGTCTGATTCAGATTATGAGAAGCAACAGGTCACGTTTCTGAGGTTGCCAGATGTGCCAGAAGTGTCCGGGACTAGGTGACGGGCTTTTTTTTTTACCGGCATCGAGACCACCAGCTTTAAATACAAACTCTCACCCCTGCTTTAGACAAACTCCGCCTCTCTGTGCGTAACTCTCACATAACTTCTGAATACGTCTGAATACCAACGAGTGCAATTTCAGTATTATATCCTCACTGCACACTTAAATCAAAATACTATGGAAGTGTCTCAAACCACACACCTTATTCACTCTACAGGCCACATGATTCCCCCGTGTCCCAGACCAGAGCCGTACACTGTGCTTATACACGGTTCATGTCATTTCCAATCTCTCCATGTGTTATCAAGGTCGTGGTGTTGCCATGGGAACATGTACTGACACAACGCCTCTCTGAGGTGAAGACTGCGACGAATGCTGATTGGTGAATAAAGCTTTATGATCCAGACGGGACACAG